TGGATAAGTGGCATCAAGCTGGTCTGGTCCAGATGGAAATGGCATTCCCACTGGGTCTGTCTTCACTACCCCTTTTTATAGGGGCAGACCTTGTATGACCCTAGTGACAGGAGGCATGGCCAGGCAAGAGTGAGCCCCTGGCATACTGAACATGTGTGCTCCATGCAGGGATGTGCAGTTTCGGGTGTCTATAATGGTGAGAGTTGCTGGTTCTGCAGGGTCTTTTTCTTTCAAATGCTGGTCTTGTCTCTGTTCCTGGGTGAAGTCTGTGGTTCCTGGATGAATCAATACGAGGTGATGGCCCATTCATTACAGGCCATTCAGTAGAGGCCTGCTACCATTTTATTTCAATCATTTCCAATCACACTCATTCATCGGGGAACCAGTTTACATGGGAGGGATACATGACTCCTACAATTGTGACACACAGGGGATGCCCAGGCAGAGGACACAAGATGGAGACTTGACATATAAAATGGAAACTTGACACGACTTTGCTTCACTTACACACACACAGGCCTAAACCATACAACATCCATATGAAACAGTAAAAATCAATACAAACCTAATAATAATACAATATAAAACAGTGAATATCCAAAACAAAAAACTTGCTACCAAAATAATAATGTTTAAAGCTTATCCTACATCTTAGCTTACTTATACTTATCTATAGGGAATAGAGAGGGAGAGAACAAGTCAAAAATAGTTGGGGAAGGGGAGTGAATGCAATAAAAAAAAAAAAGAAGAAAAACTGGGGGTGTGACTACACGGTGTATTGGCTGTACTGCTGAAAGACCTCCTAAACATTGTCTAGGCAGCAGAATAGTCAGGCTGCCTAAATGACTTCCTCTCTTTCTATGCTGGACTAAGATTAGGAAAATCAGCAAGGATGGCACTGCTGCTACAAAATCTGTAAGGCTACAAAATCTGTAAGGCTAGTGGCTGCTAAGGATGGAGCAATCTCAGTTAAAAAAAAAAAAAAAAGATCCTTAATATGGAATACAAAGGAGCTAAATAAAAGTTCTCACACTCTTTAAAACCAGTTGCAAAATGCTCATTGACTTCAGCAGCACAGATCAGGAACTTGAGTTCAGTGCAACAGGCATCTTTTTGCACAGATGTTTTTTCAGTTCGGGTAGTGACATATTTGCCAGAAAATCTTCTGTCTACAGACACCTGCACTGATGAAAATTATGAACACAGCCCCAGAGAAAAGAATATGTTCCTTCTGGGATGTTGCTGAGAATTTTGAGCCCTGAACTTTTGGGCGCCTAAATATTCTAGTCCCTGGCTGTGTCTACATGAGATGCTGACTGCAGTTATTACTGCGCAGTCACTTTGTACTTGTATAAACACATACTAAATGACTGCACAGTAACTGGAGTTACTGCACAGTAGTGTTGCCAAATGGTATTTATGTCATGCTGACTGCATAATAGTGTCAAATCACACTTCATGCCATGCAACGCTACTACATGTAGTAACAAGCTACTGTGCAGTCAGCGTCTCAGCCAGACACAACCCCAACAGAGACAGATGATTCTTCTAATCAAGCAAGCTTTACACAACCAAAACCCCCACTGAAGTTCATGGCTGGTAAATTACTATGGCTGTACTGGAAAAGCACACCTCACGCAAAGATAGCTGTACAACCATAACTCCTGCTTCTACCAGGATAAAAGAACCCACACTCTAAGCAAAATAAGCTATACTGTAAAAGCACAATTTTGCTAGTATTATACTAAGGTCTTCTGACAGCAGAGCTGTATTATTTAAGAATCAAACCTCTATGTATCCTGATGAACAGAGCTGAACAGACCTATAAAAATAAAATCCACGTAAAAGGAGAAATGAAAAGAGTTCACACTGAAGAACAAATGTACAAAGTTCCGAAGTTATTTGTATTTGTATAAGTAGCATCATTAATTAGTTTAATAGGAGTTTTGCTTAGGTCATTCTTATACACAAGAACTTATCTATAGAAATGTACCACAGGGGACACTGGTGTCATGAAGAACTGAGAAAAGAGTTGCAAGCCATGAGACAGATATTGCTAATGAAAGAGCAATAAGGACGCAGAAATCTTCACTAAGGGCAGAGCTATTTTAAAACTAAAGATGAATGGCACAGATCCTCATCGGGCCACATGAAATTACACTGTCTGTTGTATCAAATAGAAAAGGATAAGTCTTTTTGTAATAATGATGAATGAAAACAGTTTTAAGTCAGAATAGTTGTAATTATACATATTCTCAGGGCACCTAACCACAGTATGCACATATTAGCATTACAGTGGACTTAAGGTTATTGTTCACTGTGCTACCATTCACTCCAAATGTCTTGTCTTTCTACCTACTTACCCTGGAATTCATATACCAATTAGGAGAGTTAAAAATCTCAGCATTCTCCAAACACAGATCATTTTCTCTGTTCTTTCCATGGCAAAGGGATATACAAGATTATAACCACTTTCTAGTTGTCAGACCTAGACCAGCTTAGGGTGCTGCTACAGGTTACCTTTAAACCATTATAAATTTGTAGAATGTTAGGCAGTGTTAAAGTTAGAACAGTTTCAGAGCAGCCACAGGTTAAGGCATAATGGTGTGTCTCACCTGCACAACTGTGACTTGTTACTGAAGTGTCTGGCTCTGGTAAGCAGGGGCATGGCCAGGAGCCAGGACTCTATCCCTACTCCAGGAGTGAAATAGATAGGGTTTAACCACAACAAGGGCATGGAGCCCAGGAAAGCTGATCTCCATGGGCTCCAGGCATCTTCCACACTCAACACTAGGCAGTGTTTTCTCACTTCCCCCCCTTCTTCCCCTCCCCCCCGAATGCAGGAGGCTAGGGAGGAAAGCCACATCATCCCCCCCAAATTTCTTCTGGCTAGGGGAGAGTTGCCCAGATATGGGGCAAAGGGTTATCCCTCTGACGGGAGATCTGTGTGCCTGGCTCTTGGCCCAGAAGCCTGGATTGGATCTCCTGGGGTCCTTGAAGCCAGCAGGATGGTGTCACATGGGCTGGGGTCAAACCAACTGAGGGGAGGTGGGAGTGTTGGCTCAGGGCTAATACCAGCCCCTGGGCAGTAGAGTTTAGGAGCTTGGAAAGTTTGTCGGGGTAAAGGGGCTGGATGACTGCAAATGTATTGCATTATTTCCTTGGAGCAGAACAACAATACCCTAGCTTGAACTTGGTAGAACAGCTCAAAGATAACCTTCACCCAACATAGCATAACTTTAAGACACTTAGAGGATATTTAGCACAGTTTAACACCTTTTAATGTGCAGTTGCCCCCATTTTAAGTGCCTTTAGAATGGTTTAAAGATAACCTACAACACTGTCTCATTCTGCCGGCATTCACATAAACAGTTATGTGGCAGATGGGAGGGAACTTCTTGAGCATATGCATCTGTCTCGGCATTGTGCTCTAGAAGAGACAAGGAATGAATTCATCCTGATCTACGAAGAAGGCACAGAAGCCCCCTGTAACAGGGAACCCTAGCCCTGTCACCAGAAGACAGGTTGGCCCCTTTAAGGCCAGAACTTTCTGGACACAGAGTGCCAGTAAGGTGGGGGTTAAAAGCTGAGTCTGGCCAGCTAATCAGCTGACCGGAAGGGGCAGGCCAGGACTATAAAAACCCTGGGCTGAGCAGCAGTAGGGGCCAGCAGCTAAAGAGGAAGGAGTGTGTCCCAGAGCTCTATGGAGAGTCTTGGTGCATGGTGCAAAGGCTGGAGGAGGGGAAATATGGAGGAACCTGGAGCAACCCCAGAGGAAGGACTGTAGCTGATGATGGGGAACTGAAGCATGAACCCTGTGTAAATGTAAGCTGGCATGCTGCCTTCTTTAATCACATTTCTCCCGGTGGCAGTTATTGCCCATGGACAGGACTGTTCATATTTTTTTTTTTATTGATATTGAATAACACTTGTGGTTTGGGTGAGGCTATTGGGAAAGGAGAAGGCCTCGCTGGGACCCCACTACAGCATGGGGACCTGGTGCCAGAGTGGGTGCAGGATTTTGGGGTGCACTGACCCCAGCACCAGAGAAGGTGCAGTATCTGGGGTAGATAGGCCCCAATGCCCATGTGGGTGCATGATTTTAGGGTGTACAGACCCTGGCACCAGAGGGCACGATCCTAAAAATCTAGGGTGGTCTGGTGCACCTGAGGGCAGTCTTGTTTCTCTTTGGACTGGGACAGTGTGGGTCTGGAACCACTCCCCTGCCTTGAACTTACAACCCCCTGGCTGGTGGCCAGAACTCTAGGCCAGGGAGGCTGGGCTCCAGATCAGAGCAAAAAGGAGAGCCACGAGCCTCAAGAAAAGAAAAGGCTAGAACCTTGAAGTCAAACTCTGTTTGGTGGGTTTAAACAAGGAGGCCTAGTTAGAGATACGGAGGGTCAAGTCCCAAGGAGGTGGAAGACCCCAATATACAAAATGGCAGTCTCCCACTTACAAGAATATCAGTATAATAATTTCCCTCAAGACATGGCAGGTGAGTAGAGAGCGGGACACAAGAACCTTAAAGGGGACTCCAAGGGTGCCCCATGTAAGGTGCAGGTAACAGGGAAGATGGTGCTCCGGAGGGCAACCTGTTACACCCCCCCACCTCCCCTCTGTCATTGCTTTAGGAACTCTCTGCACATGCATGTGCATACATATGCACACTCTTTAACATACATGTGTGGGGCATGCAAAACTCATGGGTGTCCCCTTCCCCCCCAGTGTTAATTTCCCACCCTCCCAACATCAGGGGGAGGGGGATTATGAAATGAGCTATTGGGGGGCAGTGTGGGGAGGGGCAAGGAGAGCCCAGGATATAAATAGAGGTCTCCCTCACACACACACATCCCATTACATGCTAGCACCACCAGGAGTGGGAATTAGGGGCACCATGGGACTATGGGGGTGGGGTGGTGAGACCGGAGTTGGGGACTGAGGGGCACCCTGTGGTTTGAGGAGGGCTGTGGGTCGGGAGTGAGGGACAGTGCAGAGTGAAGGTGGGGGCTGCAGTTTGGGAGTGAGGGAAAGAACAGTGGAGCTATTTCTGAACCCTCCCCTCCCCATGCCTTCCTAGGAGTGTTTCTCATTCCCTACCTGCTGATGGCTGTGCTCGGGGGGGTCCCCATCTTCTTCCTTGAGATCTCGCTGGGGCAGTTCATGAAGGCTGGGAGCCTCTCAGCCTGGAATATCGCCCCCCTCTTCAAAGGTTAGTGACCTCCCAGGGCCCCCTGATATCCCCTTGTCATCCCACCCCCCCCAGAATTGGGCCTGGATTGTATCTCCAACTTCTCCCTTCTCCCCCTAAGAATGAGGTCAGTCGGGCCCAAATCAGGGCCCCTGGGGAGGCGAAAGACTTGCCCATTCCTTCCAGAATTGGGCCTGAATCAGGGCTCTCAGCGGGGCAAGACCCTCCCTAGGATCAGGCCTGGATTGGAATCCTTGCCTCTCCCACACCATAGGGCCAGAATTAGGCTTACATTGGGTCCCCTTAGGCAGGGGAAACCCCTCCCCCACCCAGGGTCAGACCTGGATTAGGTGCCCCCTGACACCCAACTCCTGATCTCTGACCTCCTGGCAGGGTTGGGACTGGCGTCGCTGCTGATCGTGTTCTACTGCAACACCTACTACGTGCTGGTGCTGTCTTGGGCCCTCTTCTACCTGGGCAGCGCTGTGGCCGGGGCAGTGGCAAGCGGCGGGGACCTGCCCTGGGCCACTTGTGGCCACTCCTGGAACAGCCCAGCCTGCCATGATGGGCCCCTTGGCAACAGCTCTCACAGCAACAGCTCCCAGAGCGATGCTCCCTCCCGCTCCCCCGTGCTTGAGTTCTGGGAGTGAGTGTGACCCCTGACCCCTGCATGAACCCCCACATGATCCCCACCCCCGCCATCATGAGTTCATGCCCCTTGGTGAGGTGGGTTGTGCCCTCTCATGAGCTCATGGCCCTGGTACTATGATCCCCGTCATGCTCTCTCGTGCTCCTCATGCTGCCTCATGCCTCCCCATGACACTCATGTCCTCACACCTCTCATGTATTCAGCCCCTGTGCACTCATGCCCCTCATAAGCTCACATTCATGCCCTTCATGACCCCTTATGCTCCCTTGTGAGCTCATGCCCCCTTGTGCTTCCTTGTGCCCCCAGGCACTGACCCCCATGTCCCCTCAAGAGCTCATGCTCCTCCTCATGCCTCCCTGTGTGCAGGAACCGGGTGCTGGGGCTCTCAG